ACTAATTGTTAATATAGTGTTGCGTTTTCAACAAAATTTTTCAGGAGCACAGTTCCTGTACATCTAGGAAATGTGCTTTCCCGTTTCCTCGACAAAATCAATAAATGAAAATTTCATTGAAATTTGGTCATCGCGCGCCCTCTTGCATTAAAAGGGTTTCTGTTAAACGTCTGTTTGTAATCCAAAAGTTCAAACGGGTTGCTTTTTGGATATATAACCTTGTTCATGTAGGGATTGTTCCTTCGGGACAGCTGAATAAGTAATAATTCGATAGAAGCTGATTCTTATTTTACTACCATACCTACAGAAGCTGGAAATCCTCCGAATCATGAATTATGTAAAAATCTGACATAATATAACATACTAGTGAGTTCAATAAAGGATGAATTAAGACATTCAAATAAGAGAAAGAATAACGATCAAACGGGTAAAGTTAGTAAACAATGTAGTATAGCAACAAAGCTGGGGAAAATGACGTTAAGGGTAAAAGTCAGTCTATTTTGTTCAACTAATGCCTTTTTAGCGCATTTTTGCAAATTTATTTTTAAACCGTTTAATAATATCTGGGGGTTATTCCAGTGGTGGTACGTTCTCTTCTTAAAACTTCTACATCCCGCCCCGCTCACAAAATGCCTTGGATTTTTCTTCTAGTTTTATTTGGAGGAGAGGGGAGATGGCAGCACGAGCGCGTATAGGACAAGAAATATCGATAGAAATACTTCAAGAATTACCATGAGAACGTGGAGGGCTGTAAACGTTTTGGGTGATATATCACCAATGGTCTAGGGGGGTATGGAAGACACCCTAGGGAAAAGAGCTTCTATGGCTCTCTTTCGAAGCTGATCATACAAGTGTTAAGGGCTCTAAATGTTTTGGGTGTACTACCTATAACCGGGGGGTCTGGGAGGAAAGAGTTCGTATATCACTTAGAGATATGGAATACCTTCTAGGACAGAGCTCTCATAATTCTCTATCGAAAATGATTATACGAGTTTTTAGAGGTTTAAACGTTTTGGAGGAAGTACCTACATATCACCCGTGCCCAAGGAGAAAAGCTGTCATTGCATTCTTTCGAAGCTGATCATACAAGTGTTATGGACTCTAAATGTTTTAGGTGTACTGCCTATTACTGGGTGGTATGGGATACCCCCCTCTCCCTTGAAAATGATCATACAAACGTTAAGGGGTCTACACGTTTTGAGGAGAAGAAGGTCATGCAAGTGTTGAGTGCTCGAGGATCTGCGCTACCATCCTAAAAACCTCTACATAGATGCGTATCTGAATTATGATACAACATTGAGGATTTAGCGCCAGTTACGTAAAATTTATTTCATTATTTGTGTCAGGAAAAGTTCCAATGGGCTGTAATTATAGGTGACAAAAATGAATGAATGAACGATCACAACATGCTGAAGGCAGAACTTTACGTCGAACACTTGTATTGCAATTCTGATATCTCTACAAATTAATTATTTATTTTATAAAAATGTGTCTTTTCTCAACAATTTGCCTTAAATTATTAAAAATAAAATTTGGTGTGACTAAAATAACATACAATCTGGCCCAATTTTATTTACCATTATGTGCAGATCATCAAGCATGTCTCCAATAAAATAATTGTTACGCCACTGGTGTGCTATTAACCTAATTCGGTGGCGCCATCCATACACACTAAATGGAAGTTCCAAAAATTAAGGCATTCTCATTTTTAGCGCATTTTTGCAAAAATTTTTTTTGTAAAAAGTAGCTTTTAATCTCACTTTGGCTGGCTGGCTGGCTGGCTGGTCGGCTGGCTGGCTGGCTGGCTGGCAGTAAATGCGCGCCCGTAGAAAAACGCTTGTAAAAAGACAAGGAGTGCACATGTAACTATCGGGGCCGTGTAATTAAGAACGTTAGGGATGGGGCTACAAGATTTGGAGTCGACGACATCTGGACGCCATCCCCGAGCGTATTATACTAACCTGGAGATTTTTCAGTTTTTATCTATCTTCTTCTACAGTTTTTCTCCGATTGTTTTCAAATTGGTGTCGTCGGGAAGATCTTGTCAACGCGCACAACTCCTGCGTGACGGAATTTTGTTTTTTTTTTCCTAGGGGCGAAATAAACCACCTTTTGCGCGGCGCGCTTCGAGGGGTAGTCGACTTTGGGCGCCCAAAAGTTTCTTACAGCGCGAATCGCGGTCTCTCTTTCTCGTGTCACTAATAGAAGGTCGAGCTATGTGAAGTACCCAAAAGTTGAATACGATTTTATGCCGGGATTTTAGCGAAATCTACCAAAATGTGAATTACGAATGAACGGGACGTCGGAACTGTGTATCGACAAAGGGAATGTGGTAACCCCCGACGAGATCTTACTGATGGTGGAGTCGAAACTTCAAATCAGAATTGTTGCGGGTGATCAGAAGTGGGTGTCGACAAAGGGAATATGGTAACCCCCAAAGGATTTTACTGATGGTGGAGTCAAAACTTCAAACGCGAATTGCGAGTGCACGGTAAGTGAGAAAATGGTACCGACAAAGTGAACGTGGTAGCTTTCCGCAAGATCTTATTGATGGTGGAGTCAATATTGGCTAATAAAACACTGATCTGCCACACAAAAATGCGCTGAAGTCCCTTCGATCTCACACGAGGACTTTGATCATTTTTAATCTCACTTTGACCGGCTTTTGGCAAATGCGTGCCCAGAAGAACGCTTGCAAAAAGACATGTACATGCACCTACTGGGGCCGTGTAATTAATAACTTTAGACTTTAGAGACGGGGCTACAGGATGTGGGGTCGGCGACATCTGGGCGCCATCCCCGAGCGTGTTATACTAACGTGGTGATTTGTCAGTCCTATCCAGTCCTATCTTCTTCTACATTTTTGGTCCGATTGATCAGATTAACAAACAACTACAGGTACATTTTCTTGCTGAAAAGGTAGATCTAAATTGTTAACTTTCCTTTGTTGTAAACACACTTTCATATTCCACGTTTTATCAAAAGTCTGCTTTACCTTACTTTCCCTTTTTAGGTCTAATTAAATTCGATTTATTCCTCAGTTTTCGATATCTGGACTATCATGGACTAAGAATAAAAAACAAGTATAAATTGTGCACAAATAAAGCGCATTTTTTAACCGAAATAGCTTTTGTTTTGACATCACCAATGGATATATTTCTTGCAGACGTTTCAATCGCCCTTTGAGTACCCCTTTCAGACAATCCGTTCTTGAGGTATAAGGGAATATACCCGATCACGATAAGAGGTCAAGGAGGAGGGCTATGGTTGGTAGAAATTAATTCCTTTCGTTGAGACCTTTCATAAGAGTACCATGAAGGATAAAACTAGTTCCCCCCCCCCCTTCCCCTCTAGCCCGTACTTTGATAAGAGGACAGAAAGAAGGGCAGTAGTTGGTAGAAAACGGTTCCTTTCGTTGAGACCTTTCATTAGAATACAATGAGAGATAAAATTAATTTTTAGCCCCCCCTCCCCCCCCCCCCCCCCCAGGCCCGTCGCTCACTGATCTCGAAAAAGAGTCGCACAAGAAAGTTATAGTTTGTACAAACCAATTTATTTCGATGAGACCTCATTAGAATACCATGAGGGGTAGAACATCTGTTTACCCCCTACCCCCTCCCATTTTCTAAAGTTTAACTTGGCACCATTAAAGGCATGCGTATGCAAAATCTGAGACCAATTGGTTGTCGTATGTAAAAGTTATGTACGTTTTACTTTCAAAAACAGCATCTCAGGAAATAATTATGGGGAGCCCCCCTTTTAGACAGCGAAATTTAATGGCCGCCTGGCACATCTTCAAGGTATAAGCTACCTACTGCAAAAAATTCCAGGACTCTAGGACCATTCCCCTATAAGTAGTTCAAAACGGCAGAAGTGGGTCCGGACGGACGGACGGACAAAACGCAAACAATAGCACCTTAAAATGCGCTAAAAAGATAGACGCAGATCTTTGCACTATCTAAAATCATCATTTGACCTGCGGATTTTTGCGGAAGAAAAATGGTATACTGATTATAAAATCTGTACGGCGAAATTTCGAAAATAAAATGAGTCCGTACAAAACGCCGTTAATCAAATTCAAATTCCTATAATAGAAAGTTTCCTATGATAGTGAAATCTAATCAAGGTTTATAAACGCTTTGTTCTATAATTAGAGTTATTACATTTAGTAAAACGATAGGAAGTGTATATACAATTATATGCACATAATTGTGGTTTAAATAGCTCCCCTACAGGTTCCCATTTCTTGTTGACATATTAACATTTAACGCGTGAAAACAGTTCCCATCACAACGCCTATTTGTCTTTGCTGTACAATATAAACATGTCAGTTCCAATTGAACAATTATTCTTAGTTCTTTTAAAATGTGTAGTGTAAACACGTTACCTACGTATCCAAAATTCTGGAACGGCAAATATGTAAATTAGATTTTTAGATTCAAGAGCTTTACTTTCATCGCTGTGTTCAGAAATCGATTAAAAATGGCGGCCTTAACAGATCGTTAAATACTTAATATTGCCAAGTCTGTTGTGAATATTTCAGAAACATGTTTCGCATAGTTAGTTGGACGTGGAGGTTAATTTTCCAATTGATCGTGACAATGCTGTACAATATAGCAAGTGAGGCTGACTGCTTGTATTGTATGTGGTCTAAAACAAAGCGTTTCCAGCCTACTATTATGTGGAACACAACGCACCAAACAGAAACAAGTATAAATTGTGCACAACTCTTGTGCAGATAAAGCGCATTTTTTTAAACCGAAACAGCTTTTGTTTTGACATCACCAATGGATATATTTCTTGCAGACGTCTCAATTGCCCGTTGTGAGGACCCTTTTTCGACAATCCGTTCTTGAGGTACCTATTGTTTGGTATAAAGCTAACTTCAGTCCTAACTGCCTTGACGTAAAGATGTTCCTTGTGAAAGTTTTAATAATAAATTATTATATTGTCTTGTAACTTTTGTGAGCTACACAGTATGAAACATGGTGTCAGGTTATTTTATTCATAATTACAATAAATAATTTCAACGTGGAATACGTAAATAGTGATTTTCGTTCATTTTTTAGATACGAAAACGTGATCACAGATAAAGTACAAATGCAAAATGGAGTTTAAACCGCCGAAAGGATTGTCGTTCAGTGGTGATGTCTCCCAGAACTGGAAGTTCTTCAATCAAAAATTCAATCTGTTCCTAAGTGCCAATGAATACACCAAGAAAGCCGATACTGTAAAAATTGCAATGCTGTTGAACTCGGTGGGTGACGAAGGTCTTCGTATATTCAATACATTTAAACTGTCGGCTGAGGATGAGAAGTCATTCGATAAGGTTTTTGAGGCATTCGACAAGTACTGTACTCCCAGGAAGTCAATCGTTCTCAACAGATACAAGTTTTTCAACAGGACTCAAAACGAATCCGAACCGTTCGATCAATTTCAGACAACGTTAAAAAGTTTAGCACGCGATTGTGAGTTTGGCGATCAAGAGGACTCCTTAATTAGAGACAAAATAATTATTGGGTTAAAAAGTTCAGCGTTACAAGAACGACTACTAAGAGAAACTGATCTTACGTTACAAAAGACTATCGAACATTGTCGAGCATATGAAGCAAGTCAGACGGAGGCACAGGCAATTCAAGGAAGTTCATCCTCCAGTGGAATTACCATTGAAGCACTGAAAAAATCTGTTAACACAAATACGAGCAAAAATCAATTCATACCAGGTAAATTTAAATGTGTCAACTGCAACACGACTCATGGTAAAAATGAATGTCCCGCCTATGGCAAACGCTGTCGCATTTGTAACCGGGTGAATCATTTTGCGATTGCATGCAAGTCCGCACACCACAGGCGAACAGTTGGAAGACCCAATTTTAAGTCCGTACATGAAGTAGTTACAGAGCATCAAGAAGATGGGGAGGAAAATTGCGAAGGAGATGATTTTTTATTTATAAATAAGATTGCCAGTAGTGGTGTTAATAACAAGAGCTGGCTACAAGAAATAGACATTAATGGATTTCCTGTAAGTTTTAAAATTGACACAGGTGCAGATGTCAACGTTTTACCTACTAAAATTTACAACGAGGTATGTCCTAATGTTAAGTTAAAATCATTTAACAAGCCTATAATTGCATACGGAGGTTTCCATCTCAGAACTGAAGGGTTAATGAAAACCAATTGCACACCAAGAGGAAGAGATCCAGTTGAATTAGAATTTGTCGTTATTAATACACAAGCAAGTCCACTATTAAGTTTAAATACATGTATCCAGTTAAATCTTGTCAGTAGAATACATACTGTGGAGAACGAGGCAATAGTACATATCCTAGAAGATAATGTCGTCGAAAGAAATAATTTCATCCAGAGTAATAGTACGTGTTTTACCGGTTTAGGTAAATTACCATTTACCTACAAGATACAGCTTAAAGAAGATTCTGTACCAGTCGTAAAGCCTGTTAGAAAAATTCCAGAAGTGATTAAACCGAAGTTGAAAATCGCATTAAGTAAAATGGAAGGAAGTGGAATTATTTCGAAAGTAAGCAACCCTACCGTTTGGGTAAATGATTTAGTTATAGTGGAAAAGCGAGATGGATCAATTCGAATTTGCTTGAGTCCCTTAGAACTTAACAAGTGGATTAAACGAGAGCATTACCATATAGGCATATACCAACGATAGAGGATCTTACTGCTAACTTTGCAGGGAGAAAGTGGTTTACTGTAATGGATATGAAAGATGGCTTCTACCAGATTCCATTAGATCCGTCTTCAACAGAACTGTGTACGTTCAACACACCATATGGCCGTTATAAGTTCAACAGATTACCGTTTGGATTGTCGTCAAGCCCAGAGGTATTTCAACGTGAGAACATGAAGATATTTGGAGATATTCCTGGTGTACAAGTTTATTTTGACGATCTAATAATTGCAACTATGACAGAAGAGGAACACGATGCAGTTTTAAAAGTTGTGATGAAGAAGGCTGTGGAAGCGAACGTAAAGTTTAATGCATCTAAAATACAATATAAAGTGCCTAGTGTTAAATATTTGGGTTTTATCTTTTCAGAGAGAGGTCTACAAGCAGATCGAAAACAAGTGGAAGCCATACTGAAAGTTAAAGAGCCAAAAGACAAAAAATCGTTAATGGGATTTTTAGGTATGATCACATATTTGCATAAATTTATTCCACATATGTCATCATTAACAGCACCTCTTAGATTATTGCTAAAGAATAATTCTCATTGGCAATGGTCTAATGTTCAGCAAACTGCTTTTGATAAGTTAAAGTTACTTGTGTCTAATGCTCCAGTGCTTAAATATTTTAATCCTTCTCATGAAATTACAATACAAACAGATGCTAGTAAAGATGGGCTAGGTGCTTGTCTTCTGCAGACAGGGCAACCTGTAGCATTTGTGTCTAGATCTTTGACAGATACTGAAAAACGTTATAGTATGATAGAAAAAGAGTTATTAGGTATATGTTTCGCTGTACATAAATTTCACCAATTTATATATGGTCGTAATATAACTGTGCATTCAGATCATAAACCGCTCGTAAATATTACAAGAAAAGAAATACACAAATGTTCAAATCGAATTCAAAGAATGTTATTAAAATTAATTAAGTATACGTTAGACGTTAAGTATATTCCAGGCAAGTTGATGTATATATCTGATTATTTGTCAAGGAATTATATTGATGTACCAGTTAAAGATGATCCAGATATGCTTGATGTAGTCCATACTGTTGCACTAGATCAGTTTTTACCATCAGTTTCAAAGGAAAAATTGTTAGAATTTAAGTTTCAGACTGGTAATGATCCTGTGTTACAACAACTAATTCATTACATAAATGAAGGTTGGCCTAAGTATCAGAAATTAGATCCAAAAGTAAAATGTTTTTACAAAATTAAAGACGATTTATACCTAAAAGATGGTATAATATTTTTTATAGATAAAGTTGTTGTTCCACAATCATTGTATAAAAATATGTTACAACAAATTCATGGCAATGCACATTTAGGAATAGTTAAATGCAAAAAACGTGCAAGAACATTGCTTTATTGGCCTAGAATGGGTACCATGATAGAAAATTTTGTTAGTAAATGTACAGAGTGTGAAAAATTTCAAAGGTCTAATGTTAAGGAACCTCTTATTTCACAAGAAATTCCTCAATTGCCATTTTTGAAAATCGCAATTCACATTGGGGAATATGGTGGTAAATGTTACCTTATCTCAGTTGATTTTCTATCTAAGTGGTTAGATATAATCCCTATAGAAAGTAAATGTATAGAAGAAATCATATTGAAATTGAAGTGTATATTCTCAAATCATGGTATACCAAAAATAATAGTTTGTGACAATAATCCTTTCTGTAGCTATAAGTTTAAACTATTTGCGTCAGATTATAATTTTGATATTTCCTATATAAGTCCTCATTACCATCAAAGCAATGGCCTGGCTGAAAAAGGAGTAGGAGTGGCTAAAGGTATCATTAAAAAAGCTAAATGTCTTGAAGATATTTATACAGCATTGTTAGAGTATAGAGTAACATCTGTCGCTGGCTTAGATTACTCGCCATCGGAAATTTTAATGGGTAGATTATTAAGATCTAAGATTCCGGCTACATTTTCTAATTTACAACCGAAATTAGTATATAATAGCGCATATGAGAAGTTGGTTAATAAACAGGCTAGTATTAAGCATTGTTATGATAAAACGTCTAGGGAAAGGGAGCCGTTTAAAAAAGGGGATGATGTGGTCGTGCAAAACCCTTTACGAAAAGTGTGGGAAAGAGCAAAAATTATTGATGTAGGTCAAACACCACGTAATTATAAAGTATTGACTGAGACGCAACGTACATTAAATAGAAATAGTATGCATATTAGAAAATCTTTAAATGTACCTAGATTTACGGGATTACCTTACGAAGAAGGTTTTTCTGAAACTAAAGCTACTGATACAGAAAATTTAAATAAAGCATCAAATAACAATCAATTTCAAGAAAGCCTTCCAGTAGTAAGAACTAGATGTGGTAGGGCTGTCAAACAGCCTGCAAAGTTTAGAGACTTTGTTGCAGCGTAAAAGGGGAGATGTTTGGTATAAAGCTAACTTCAGTCCTAACTGCCTTGACGTAAAGATGTTCCTTGTGAAAGTTTTAATAATAAATTATTATATTGTCTTGTATCTTTTGTGAGCTACACAGTATGAAACACCTATAAGGGAATATACCCGATCACGATAAGAGGTCGAGGAGGAGGGCTATGATTGCTAGAAATTAATTCTTTCCGTTGAGACTTTTCATTACCAGGAGAAAACTAGTTACATCCCCCCCCCCCTACTCCACCCCGTACTTTGAAAAGAGAACAGAAAGAAAGGCAGAAGTTGGTAGAAAACGGTTCCTTTCGTTGAGACGTTTAATTAGAATACAATGAGAGATAAAATTAATTTTTTACCCCTGGTGCTAAAATGTTTCTTCAATTTAGGCATAGTACCTATGTATGTGTCCTTTACTAGATAAGTGAAACATCAATACCTTACTAAAATATTGCGTAATGCATAATTCTGTTGAGCACTGGTACTGGATTGTACGTATTAGTATGTGCACGTATCAACATCCTTTCTGAGCCTGAGAATATTCTTTAATGCGTCTATTTTATTTTAACTGTAGTCAAAAAAGAGAATTTTGAAAATTTGCGTCATTGAGGGAAATTACGGAAAATGCGCTCAGCTGTCTATGTGAAGTAGAAATAAGTTTTTCTGGTAAATTTTGACCTCCACCTCCAAAAGAGTTTTAAAGCTCCTCACAATTTCCAAGAAAGTTCCCTTGTTGTAGTTCTATTAGCACATACAATATAAGTATGTAAGTAGTTTTGTTCTTTACTTTAGTGCAGGGGTGAGGATGCCTCATATATTGTTGTTAGTTCTATTTACGTCACGTCATAATAATTCTATAGCTATGGATAAGTATTAAAAAAAAGTTTTCGCCTCAAGACTATTGAAAACAATCACGACTGTAGAACGATAATACATGTAAATCCGTCACAGGACGCGTATCGTGAGTCTGATTCAAAATTTGATATTAAATGATCATGATACCACAAGTGACAAATACGAGAGAGATGTAACCAGATTAAATCAGAACCCAAAATTGTTTTGAAAAATTCAGATGCATGTTCACTTTTTGGCAACGCGACCGCACGTAAGGCTACACTTTTGTTATGCGGCCAAGAATTACAATTGATGATGCAGTTAAACCTTGTCTTTTTCGAAATCCCAAAGATTAATTTCGAACTGAATTTACACCCAGATACCAAATTTCGTAAAACTTACTCGCCTATTCCCAAACGATGTTCATATTGAGTATTTATTTACCAATTTCGCCGAAGAAACGTTAAACAACTGCGATGAACAACCCACAAATTTATATTATTTTATTTAATACAGTAATATAGTAATAATTTGCACATACCTACATGAAACATAAAACTTTTAGGGAGATAAACTGGTTTACTGGTATCTAGTTTAAAGCAGTTACGTTCAACACTGCATCTTTGTAGTGATATGCATAAATCTAATTCACCTTGGGTCACAAAGGAGATGGTCAGACAAAAATGAATTCAGTTACCAAGGCTCTTGGTAAATTGTTATCAAGCAACCCATATGGTTTCATCAGCGGAAGATCGGTTGAAACAAATCTGTTCTCCTATATGAATTACATCCTTGGTCCTCCACTGTTCCTGGCTTTCATTAACGATATTTCATCAGTACTGCTATCTGAACATACACTTTTTGCCGACGATCTCCAGATATACAGGGCTATTGGTGGTATCAAAGACACTGTAATGCTACAACAAGACTTGGTGCAATTAGAACCCTGGGTATTAAACAACGACTTGCAGCTTAATGTGAATAAATGTTAAACTATTTGCTTTTCAAAAAAATACAGACAAATCTTGAAATTTCTCCCAATGCCAGGAAAAATGCAAGTTTTTAGAATAAGGTTAAAGATAAACAGTAATGGGGTGGCAAAAATTGATGCAGTGTGAATAAATGGTACACTATATGCTTTTCAAAAAAATACAGACCTTCTTAGCCCAATTACTACCTTGGTGGGCAGTTATTAAATAGTGTCGACTCCATCATACTGGACAAGAAATTAAATTTGAATGCCGGAGTTCATTTTCCTAAAATTTCGAGGCAATTCAAATAATGCAAAAACCTTTCGATGTATAGATTTAGACCAAAGTTCCTCTAAATGTTAGGGCACCGTATTTAAAATATCTGCGGCCAACTGCCGCTGTAACAAGTGGTATAAAACTGAATAAAAATTAGCTGAAACGGCCTTATTGAATAACCCATTACTCTCATTAGTTTCCTATATCGTTAAATACCTATAATATATCAACTTGTCTCTATTTATTTAATAATTTAGCTGGTTAATTATATAGTTAATAGTGTTATTTAAATTACCCTTTGTTCAAAAATCTACATAGTGATAGTGTTATGAAATTAATAGATCTCGTGATGGTGGCGTTTTGGTAGCAATTAATGACAATGTTAATTTTGTGGCACTTGGATGGATGCAAATTAATCCTTAATTCGTCCTCTACACCGATTTTGGTAATTTGTATACCTCCTGATGTAAACGTTGAGAGACTAGAGCAATTTTCTGATTCT